ATATAAATGTAGTCTTATGAACGAGTAGATTAGATTAAGGCGCAGAAAAGCATCACGACCCGATCGAAATTTTTGTCATCTAAAATCTCAACTTGCTTAGCCCTCTACAGGTGCTACCTGGATAATGAAGCCAAATGTTTTTTATGAGAAGTCGGTGTTAAGTAAAATCTCGGCATTTACGACCAGAATGTAGCTACCATTCAAAGTGCGCTATTTTGAAACGCTACGAAATACTCAAGCTAACTTTAAAGTTTAGCAGTACTTGAACCAAACTAGTTTAGTGCTCCGAAACAGCGCATTGATTCACTTCTTGTTTCCCATAAGTATTTAAATCTAGCTATCAACAAACGGCTCAAGGTATATTATCGTAACCATCTACATAAGATAGTAGTGCTATCGTATAATAAATAGCGCAAAAGGTCCAGGGAAATTTTTCATGGCCAGGTCATTTTTGTTGGCATTGTATATTTGTGTATTGTTACTATTGTAACACAAAATAAAACGTTTGAAGGATGAATGATGTATACTTCCCACTACTTGGAAACTGTTGTTAATAACTGTTGGCGTAACACGATGAAGCAAAATCCTTGCAACGGAAAAAGTTTCAGGCAGCGCTCCTTATTGGCCTATTCAGGCGTTTGCCAACTTTTCGATTTCGCTTTTACTTGGATACTTGACTATGTTCTAAAATGAATGAAATCTAGGAATCCAGGCAGGTAACAGTACATTTAGTAGCATGTTATTTATTTGTAGCACTTCACAGGGAGTAGGCTGCGAGTACCCAGCGTCACTTGGCAATACAAGACCTAATATGCGATAAATAGAAATTTATTGCTACCAGATCGCAATCTTTCGGCTAAAATCGCCTCCTATGGCACTTATTAGTTGGTTGTGTCTTTACAGATATAAATAAAGAGACCAGTTACTAAAGAATGCGAAGCTATGCATCACTAGTGTTTAAAGATTAACTACTTAAATGATCGAAAGGCTTGCGGTTTCCATATAAGCCTTCTGGTCCAATATCTGGACCTAACGTACGCCTAGATTTATAAAGCAATAATTGAATGCAAATTATTTTTGTATTAACTACTTAACATATAAATGTGAAATTATGCGTGATTTTTAAAATTGAGTACCATTTATTGCAAATTTCATTTAGTACTGAACAGGCACGCAAGGCGATATTGCATAGGAATCTATTTACCTTCTAAGTGTAATTAGGACCAGCTACCGCATAACATACCGTTCGAACATAGAGTACTAAAAACTTTTTGTAAAGGTAGTAGTTTGTTTTTGTTGCTAAAGGAGACGTTTGCGCTGTGCTGTATCATTTGTATTTTACACTTCGTCCTTAATAATACGGATTCGTCTCTTTTTTTTTGAACAGGTACAAATCCGGCAGGGGTAAACACCAGAGAGGTATTCTGCACATACGACTTTGACAGATACAACCATAACGTGTACCAGGTACTTAGACAAAGGAAATAAATATGGCAAAAGCTCTCCTTGTAGATTGCCGATGCCCTTCTCACCTAACTGTGATCGCTTTGCTTTGCCTGTGGTTTGATTTCCCTATTCGCATGTAACCGACAGATAGTATTTTCGTTGACGTCCTTTTTCGCTCCGTTGGTCGTTATCTTCGTACTCTACATGCTGATGCTCAATCGGCTATGGTTACGGGCGAGAAGTTCGGCGGAAAGCGTTCGAAGTCGACGGAGGGTAACACGACTGGTCGTTGTGGTCGTATTAACGTTCGCCGTCTGCTGGGCGCCCATTCAGGTTTGTGTTTAGTGACTTATACCCATTTATTTATCAGCTTCTTGTCATTTTTCCCCATAATCAAAATCGAAACGCATTGCATTTTCCCTCATTGCCTCGGTGTAATACACCGACGCCCCGCTAATCTAACGTGATCTCGGTTTCGGTGCAGAGAAATCAACAGCCATAGAATGACTTTACGTATTTTGCTAGGAGGTCTATAAATATGTCCTAATGGACTTAAACCACATGCGTCAAGGTTCCATAACAGGAGCTATGTCGCAGGTTGACTATACCCGTTATTTGCATCTCTGACTGACTAGCTAGCCTATTGAGTGATCGCTTAACGTTAATTATCGTATCTAATTAGATCGTCCCACACAGCTTTCGCTGACATTCATATTTATGTCAGTGTACTGCTTCCTGCATGTCACATATCCAATACCGCAATCTGATCAAGTCCTGCACAGCTGAAAAATAGGTATGATGCCGATTCGGAAGTCGATTGTATTTTTAGGCATTCTTTGCTTGATCGACATCCCCTATTGTAAGCAAGAATGGCTTGAAATAAAGTGCAGGCTAACCGTAAAGGGACCTTGCACGCCAAACCTCCTAAATTGGCCTCTGAAAAAGTACACTCTCGTTAGATACAGCAGCTTTTTTATTACTGAGAACTTTTAGATGTCTGTGTGCAGTTACCGGGTGGGTTAACAAATGGTCGTAATTGTGCGGACAAGAACATCTGTAAAGCTAAAATCATCGTCGACTCGGAAATGTTTTCATTCAGTATCCCATAACTGTTAATATAATGAGGCCTATGCCGTGGCAACCGTTCAAAATGGTCTCGTTAAAAATATACTTCTGCCAGTTTACAGAGTAGCTCACTTAAACCTGAAGTTCCTCTTATGCTTTGTTTCTGATACACTGAAAAATGTTTGTTCAAAAACAGATACTTTAAAAAAATGTTCATTGTATTAGTTTCGGGCGGTCATGTTTATTCAGAATAGCCACCATTCACAGCGACTACAGTTTCAATTCCAAACCGAGGCGCTCACGGGCTCTTTAATCTCCTTTTGCAAATATGCAAGTGCTTTCTCAACAAAGGCACGAGACGCGAATAGACGGTGTTATGTCGAGACTCGTTTAACTTTTATATAATAACCCACCGTACATAAACCTCCACCGAATGGAACTTTGGCCTGTGCGGCAGTCGTATGCCTTCACCTCGAAACATGTTCATGCTCTCAAGTAGCCAACACTACGCAGAGTGGTCCGTATGAGCTGGGGTACAATCTTACCGCATACGATAAGACAATCTTCTAGACACTTTAGCTGTGGTCGATTGCGCAAGAGTTCTTTTTTCAGAACACGCAGGTAAACTTTGTTGTTGATACGTTCGCCTTTATGCAAAGAGATTGGTGCCATGACGTCCTTTTCGGCTGAGCACCATATTCAGGATATAAACGTTGGCTGGGAAACTGCTTTTAGCCTATTTCATCGTGGACAAATTAACGATTCTTCTTGCAGTTGATTTCCGCATAAATTTTATAAGAAAGGAAAAAACTAAACCTTGGTAATGTGTCGGGTAAAGTCAGCCGGAAAAATATAACGTCTACGTTCAATACGCATTCAATATGTAATATATTGATATTAGATATTATAACAAAGATATTAGTCAAAAATAATAGATGAAGAATCCTTAAGCTTTGCTGAAGTCATGGAAACAAGACCAATAAACCTAACAAAGTACAAAAAAGAAAAGGAACAAGTATAAGTAGGTTAGGCGGCCATCAGCATCTGTCAGTTGCAACGTTGATTAAAAAAGGTGACTCTATGTTCGTGGATATCGACAGTAGAGTAGGTTTACCCACTGCAATAAAAACGTTTTTCGTTACGTCTGATGTGAACGCGTACTGCAACAACTGTCCACAAACGTCAGTGCCGCAAAAATATCGAAAGGATAAAGGAAAAGCGATATGAAAGAAAAGCGGTTTATAATACGACAAGGCTACTGTAAGTAACATCGGACCCGGACCGGAAGATGTAGATTAATAGCCAGGCTCTCGCTATATATTGAAGATCTTTGATATATCCCTAAAGGGGTCATGATTAGTAGGGTATTTAGCTGTCTGGTTAACATTTCTTCCGGCTAGCTCTTATCCTATTGTCAACGAGCACATTGCATCTGATAGTTGGTGTTTGTATCGTCGTGTGTAAAAGTCTTTTTTATTTTCAGGTAATACTTTTCCTAAAGAGCATGCAAATGATCGACGTTGCATCGGACATGACGCTGCTCGTTTTACAAGTTTGCGCCCAAATCCTTGCTTATACCAACTCATGCTTAAACCCTATTCTTTACGCGTTTCTGTCAGAAAACTTCCGAAAGGCGTTCCGGTGGGTATAGTTGGATTTATTACTGATATATGTGTACACACTTTGCACTTATAAGAATTCTTCTGTGGAATATATATTTATATTTTTAGATAGTATGATATATTATATGATCAAGTGATATATACAGGCAGGTTGCAGAAGACAAGTATTACTTGAAGTGTCGGTTATTTCGCAACATCTCGTCCTCCTCCCTTGATAAAATTATCACTGAATAACCTTATTTCTATCTTTTTTCGCCTCTCGTTTTATCTTGTTTTCTTTAAGAATCATTACTGGCTTATCACAAAACACGCTGTTGTTGTTTTGAATCGATTTTTACATTTACCTGTGCTCCGCTACTGTTCGCTTTGCCTCTTTTTCTCTTTCTCGTTTATGACCAGCTCGTAGCTATATATATCGTATCTCCGTTCTCTTGCCTGTGCCTTTCCTAACAGGCGCATCTTTACAGGAAGCTGATTCTTTGCGGGGCGCGAGAGGCGCCCCTCGGTCAGCTCGGTGGCCACCAGCACAGTGTGAACACCCATACGCACAATCATCACCCGCGCGAGAGCACCGTTGTTACAACGGCTAACCGTCACAAAAAGGGCAGCGGGACAACGACCCTCACCGCTCGCAACGGACAGCTTATTAGCGACATCTTGTTGTCCCAGCCGTGTGCCGTCTCCGAGCCATTGCTTCAATCTCCATCTCAGCGAGAAAGCCAGCTACCACAGCCTTCAGTTGAGGCAATGGCTTCTGATGACGGCGGAATTGGGTGTGGAAGCGCAAGCACCACTACGGCAATAACGAATATGACAACAACGACATTCGTTGCTGGCACAGACGGCAGCCCGATAGCTGCTGGCGTAGGAGCCGCAAATGTTGGTGTGGTGCAGGCGTTTCGGGCACGCGTCGCGCCAAAAGGAGAAATTATCACTGTCATTTGTCACAGGCCGCAAGACGAACTCGTCTAGATTCGTGTGGAAGAATGAAGAAAGCACTGACTAAACATAAACGAAGATTCTACGACTATCGTTAGAAATTCAACCTAATACTGTAATGATAGCCGTTTGTGCTTCCTTATCCTCGCGATGGCTTGCTCTTTCACGTGACTGTGAATAAGATAAACACACTTCAAAAATGGAACATATCAAACAAACACAGAAAAACTACAGACGATAAATAAAAGTTATCCGTGTTTAACGTCGCATCTTGTACGCCTCTAAAGAAAACGAAATGCATTTAAATCGCTTGAGTCAAACTGTCGTGTTTAGGAAAACCGGAAAGATTGGGATCAACACATATATATACTTGTAATGCCTTTGGTGCTGTTATTATGCGAATACAACAGTGATCATTTATATAGATTAGTTATAGAAATCGTTTAATCTATTCGACATGATGTCATATGGATGATCGCCGTAAGCAGCAGCTGTTTTGTCAGAACGACGTTGGCGACTAAAGAAACATACCACTATTGGCAACCGAAGCCCATCTAGAAACGGAAACCTTGACTGGCTCCCTAGTAGTTTCGTCATACCAATAAAAAATCGCAAATAAGCATGCGTTTCGAGTGGTGGATCCGGTATTGCCGTTAGCATTGCTTCACATGGTTGGCCACCAGCACGAAACAAAGTAAGTCCTTGCCCGGTCGAAGGTCGAAAAAACACTATACGTACGCCATTTTCAAAGGACACTTCGAAAGAGATTACGGCTGACTTACAGAACGTTTATGTGCATATAGAACTTTTAGTGAACATGCATGATGTCTAGAAACGGCCCACGAAAGACACTCACCAGTACTAAGGTGCCGTCCTTGAAGCATGGCACATGGGATCATTCTATCACACTACATATAATGTCGGATTGAATATATAGTATATTAAGTTGTACATATTCAAGTATACGCATGTAAATATTTACCAGTACGTACACAGGTATACCTTCTACGAGCTGTCAGTCAGCTTCAGAAGGAATCAAATAGTGTACCTCGTATGAACGCATGTATGTCATCTACGGGACAAGAAGTTAAGTTCGGGAAACTTCTCTTTGTTGAAGTTCAAAGTTTCTCTCAATGCTTCTGCTAGCGATAGACGTGAATTGCATCTCTTTCTCACAGATAGGCATATATAGCACAATGGTAAGAAGTGTCGTAATTGAAATGGGGCAGGAATGACTATGCTCTTCACCCCCTGCCGCTCTCATTTAGACGAAATCAGAAACCCGAATTGTCCCCTATGGACCTCAACGTTGTTTTGAAAAGTTCCTAGCTGTAATAAACTTTCAACGAGATTTCTAATGTGCAACACGTGTATGGCAACATCATAATAACGGTAATGATTATTGCTATAACAGTATATAAATAATGTGTTTAGTTTTAATTGTCAAAATTACTATTGTAACATGTATAACACTGCGGAACTATAACATAGCGAACAACAGGCTACAATAATTTATTGCTATCATGTACATATACAGCTGCATAGCACTGATTCCAGACCTCACGTGATGTACACTCTAAACTAATGTATTAATGCGGTTGTTATATTATCATACCAATAATTACATTGACATAAAAACAACAATTATAAAAAACGTAATTTTTCATTTGTGATTTTATTTACTTATTACTTAATTCTGTGTCATATATTTGTTTGACTTATATGTTTTGCGTTGATTTTGTGAACATAGGTATTGCGTTATGGAACGTAAAATTCCAAAAAAATAAATTATTATGTATATAAGCTTACTAACAGTAAGAGCTGACTTTATGTATGTGGCACCTTCAACACGGATTTTCGGAAACGAGCGAAGAAGGCCTTCCTTGGTAATTTATTGGAGTGAAACTCTTATAGCGTTCTTAAAGGCAGGACCTAAGCAACCTGAGTGTCGAGACGCCTGACAGAAGTTCGATCCATTAACAGTAACACAATTTTCTTAACTTAGCCAAAGCTATCTCCTAGAAACTTTTCTGTGAGTAGATCTATATAGGAAATCGGGCAGTAGAGGCTAGCTACTGGAACGTTAATAAGTACAATGTATTCATAAAGAGGATATCATCAATAAGGTTTACTGGAGACACTGACGATGCACGAAAACAAATGATAATCATCACCCGCCACACGTCTGATCACCTTTGTTTTGATGATGTCCATCACCATATGATGTACTTATTAATGCTATTTGAACGGTGGGCCTTGTCCACTCCGGCAACGCAACGAGCCTATGGTAACTTAACCGTTGCTATTTGTTTTGTGGGCAAATATATAAGGCCGTGTATAGCTATAAATACAATATAACAAAAGCTCACTAGCACAAACCGATACGTAAAATCCCACAGTAATGTTAATGGTTATAGGAATAAGAGTACAGCTTTCGATGCATGGGGTTTAGACAACTCTATTTTCAATTGTTGAATCAATTAAAGGCTTTGCTATCTATGGACGTATGTAGAAATGTCCAAGGCAAAAAGAATCTAGACACCGCTAAAATGTGCCCTAAAACAAAAGCAAAATATCGATACTTAATTGACGGCATGAAGGGTAAAAGATGACGAAACGTAAAGCGTCTTCGGGCGGAGGAAGATTTTTCTTCGACCCAAGCTACACGACAACATTGATATCTAATATATTCTGAAAAAATATAATTGATCATATGACTCCGTCATAAAATCCTTCTTGAATAAATCGATGATCAATACGAATGTTTAAGCTAAGTCGTCATGTAAATGACGATAATAATAAATGTAATAATAGTATTATATATAATATCGGGACCATAGCTGACGTCCGTCCATTTTTACCTACAGACGTTAAGGCTTATGGACTTATTCGTCCTTATCTCGCGCACGATTCTTGGCAAGTATCACTCAGTTGATCTTTACTAGCTGCTGTTCGGTATGAATCTCGCTGCAGATAAGTTCGTTGTGTTATTATATTATATTGCTTTGAACAGAAATTTACGACCTCTCTGTGAAGAAATCTGTATCTATTAATGCATTTCCATCATTTTTAATTTTTCATACGAGTCTCCCACGGCTCGTCGTCACCTACCGCATATACCCAGTACTTTACTTTTCATTAATACGTTACTATGCTACCATCCTGTCGTGGTTATTCCGCTATTTCGAAAACCTTAAAACATCTTAATGTTCTAACTATTATGTAGGTACTTGAGTTGTTGCCTGGGCCTATACATAACGAAATTTTATATTATACGCCATCGCAAAAAATACGTTTATTATGTGTAGCCTCAACCTTCTATTTAAATGATTCGTAGATAAACATGCAATCGTTGCTGACAAACAGAAAAAAACGGCGAAAAAGTATTTCTTCGGTAGCTTTACATTAAGAAGCTAAGTTATATTTTCAGCATTTTTTTTGAAAGATTTTTCCCGGTATACAGTTATCATCGTAACGTTTTCTCGTTAGGGTAGGCCTGCATTCAAAAAACAACAAAAACCGTTAAAGCCGTTTTGGAGATTATCGGAGCATAATATATACATACAAGATATGGCACCATTTGTTATGTTCTGTTTTTAAGGCTATATGTAAATAAAAACAAGTGTCGAACAATGCTAGAAGTGTCGTTCCCATTTATCCAGTATAACCATTATTTACTATCCCTATTCGGGTCTTACACTAATCAATAATCATTTTGAAAATATCAGTGCCGCAAGTAACTTTTTAACGGCAACGCAACGTCAAACGATATTGGTAAGTCAAATTGCGAGCTGATCTCAAAGCGAGCATTTATCTAAACATGTCAAACCAAAAATCGCCTTCTCGAGCCAACTGTCCAGCCTCTTAACTCTGAAACCGAATTGACGATAGATTTCCCGATTCCAATGCTGTCTAACAACTAGTATTGTGTTACATGTTAATCTCGAAGAAAACAAGAAATATCTAATCTTGGTAGGACTTGTCCAGCGCGAATAGATTAAAAATGGCCCATCGCTGCTTACCAAAATGCCGCGCTGTTCTCCGCCGTGACGAATTTATCATTTTGTTATAGAAACAATGAGCTTTTTCCTGGTAGCAGAAATGGTGGATGAACCCCTGTCTACTAGGACAAACAGTGCGGGAAGGTTTGATCTTATTTAGGCGGCGCACCTTATTTATAGAGCGTGCTTGGAATAAACTGAGACAGATATTGGCAGGATAGTGAAGCGAAGCCAAGCCCATTTATGCATTATTCTTCCTCTGCCGCTAAAAAACCGTAGACCTTAGGTAAAACCGGAAATATATCATGACAGAGACCAGGATGTTCGGCTCGGCCTACGAGCTGCTAGTCTCCTAAGCCGAAAACGCCACTGCCGGTTTCCGTGCGGGTTCTGAAGTGTGCGAAGGAGATTTCTATACGCCAGCGCGAAAGAACACTGCACAAAGTAATATTTAAGCATCAAATGCATATTTACTGATTCTCGTATTTTCATCGGGAATTTGACAACCGTTGTTTAGAAATACGTTATGAGGACGTCAGAACGTTTCCTTGCGTCCCACAACGACGTCCCAAACATACCAAACTTTCACCTATATACATATATAAACTGACATTGTCTATAACAGGCTCATACCTACTTTTTATTCGTAGTTTCACACCGAAAGCTTACTGTACAAATAGGAAATTCTCCTCAATGGTCATCAAATGTTTTGATCGTCCAATGTTATTTCTTCATTGACTTATTAACAAAAATGGTAGTTGAAAAGTAGTCGCTTGTTGACTTTTATCAGTGGGTAAAACTTTGAGCCTGACGTCTGTAGGATTGTTATTTTAAGCGGACTACACCACGTGCACCTCTGTCGTTTTGTGGTGCTCTGCGTCCCGATTTAAAGAGCAGGAAATTATAGAATATGTGTTATTCTATAGGGACAACTAAACATCGATCTCCTTTGCTGTGTCTGTGTATAGTTGTGTCCATACTGGAACAAGTGCACGCATGGAAAAATCGTACCATATGATCTTGGCTTCCTTAAAGGGCCTCATTTCTATGAGACAGAAGAACAGCGCATGCTTCACATCATTTGTAGACGACGCCACAATTAAGAATAGTTGCTCTATTAATAACGCATTTACAGGCACGGTAACTACTTTTTCTTCAGTGATTCTTCCTAATCGTCTCTAGAGCGAATTCTATCCATAGTAATGGCATCGTCAGTCGAAGCACTTAATCATTAGAGAAATTATATCGCATTATTTGCGAAACACACACAGAATATATATATATATAGAATACCGCAATGTCGAAAGAGACATTATTCACTACCGTAAAATATCGAACATGGGTGAACGTGAAAGCGCTCTACTTAATTCTATGATATCATAGAATCATTGATATGATAATTCTGTGAGGGGTGATGATATCGTGCTTCTTATTCTTAGTATTACCACCATTGCGTCCGTCAAGATGGCCAAATTCACTAGTATGTAATAGCTTCTATACGAAATATTTGGCCGGCTTTATTCAAGTGACACACAACGAAAATAGCCTATTTTTCGTCCTACGCGCTTCTATGAACACCATTAGAAATTTAATCGAATCTCATAGTGAAAATGAGCCTTTTCATTTTTGGAAATAAGCGTCAATAGTCGTTCGGCTTTGCTAGCGTAAACGTTGTTTGAGCGTCAACACGCTAAGATGCAACAACAACAAAAAACTCGGCCAGACAATCACGGAGATGCATGCATATAGAATTTTAAATTGTTTGCTTCTTCTGTTGAGTACACGAAAGAAAAAGTAGGCAATTATACAAAAAAAAATTGATAAAACGCTTCTAAACTTGTGTGTTAGCAAACGTTTAATGTACATAAAAGAATATATGTGCATCTACTGCCGTCCCTTGATATGAGCGCGGTTCAGATGAACGACTTGCCTGTCCTGTCCGACGATTGTGGAAAAATGACGATTAGAAGCTATAACGGAGGAAGAAGCACGTCTCGGTAGAACTTCAGAAGAAGTTCAAGTGGCAGTGGTAGTTCTCATTAACTGGTGATTATTCTAATCAGTCACTGCTCGAGTGTTTTTCACTAATAACTACAAAACGTGCCTGAACAGTTAACTAATATTGTTGCTATGACAGAAATGATTCAGTTTTGGCCGACATACATAGGGCGTTGTCGTGGGGAGCTAGGAAGACTATAAAACTCTAGCACCAATAAAGCGCAATGCGCTAAAAGACACTACATATACGTGAACTGTATAAAAAGAGAGGCCTGAAAAATACAGACCAATTCAACTGGCCGCGAACAGTGGCGTAAATAATAAGACAAAACGGTGGGCGGGTGAAAGAGAAGACCCTGCAGTGGACGAGAAAGGTCAATGAGTTGCTTCTTACGTTGTTCTTATTGGAATGGGTAGCGATCGAATAGTCTTAGGCAAGAAGCTGCAAGGAAGAACACAGGATATAGCGCGGTACTCGAATAGTAGTTCAAATTTCCCGTTATCAGTTCCGTGATGATGATGATGGTGGTGAGAGTGAAGGAACGTACAAAAGTATATGTCATCATTTGGTTCACTTAAAACTTACTGTCTCAGAATGAGAAGCCAAAATCTAAGCAGGAAAACACAGAACTGATTGAATGTTCTAATTATATTTTACCACTTGCCCGTATATGCGTATATACTTAAAGGGTAGAATATTAAAGGGCGATATGAATGCTATTGATATCGATAGCGGACGTAAGAAAAATTACAGTGATCAGAGGGACAACAA